GAAGTACATAATCTGTATTGAGTAGCCTGTGCAAGCGTTTTTATTCAAAGTATGAAGTTCAAACCGGAAGATTACGCTAATACAAGCGGCTACCTATCCGCCGAGGACAGGTCTTGGCTTTAGATGCGTAGGGATAATACAACAAGCGATAACAGAACTCAGAAGCCATAGACATCTCATGTCTGTGTTGCACTCAACTGTTGCAGTTCGCGATGGTCCAGATCGGTCGCTGGTAGTAGCAACTACTTTAATTGCCGCGGTTGGTATACACTTTTACAGGCCAGGAAGCATAGAAACAGTAAACCACAACACCACAAATCCTTTTTTTTCTGTAAGACATGATGATCATCGGGCTCTTTATTTTTCAGTTGGTCGGGATGCTTATGATGAAATATCGCTTACTTATTGTCTCTATGTGGTTTTGCATTATATTGGTAAGGGATCAGTACTTTAAATACCTCATGTATAGTTCTGTTTACAATTCAACCACAATTCATTGTTTAAGAACACGCTATTCGCAAGGCAAATTACTAGCCGTAGCTAGTTTGCTATATTCTGCCTCGTTGCTTTATATGATCAATTGAAGTCGGAGGTTTAAACTACCAGATTCATTGTGTGGTACAAATACACAAAACATAAAAATGTACACTTCACACTTTACTGATGAGGAAGTTGAAACATTTGTCTCGTAAGTTCTTTATAGAGTTACGCCACGTGCCAAAACCTCTAAGATAGCAAATTGTTCTGCGAAGTGGTATTGTTAGGCCTCAAGCTAAGAAATAGGAGCCAACTTTGATAGACAGGTCGTAACATTTACTTCTGACTAATTTGCCATTAACAGTCACGCATAATTTTAAAGTCTCGAAGGTGTGGGATTGTAGCAATAAGTAAAATGTAATGGAAAGGAAACAATCTCAAGCTTCCTACAGCTAAACTAAAATCGCACACTTTTGAATACGACTGACACTCACTTTCCTTGTAAGCGACACCAGCGTCTGGCAGTCACTAAACCAGGAGTAGGAGCTGAGTTTCAGAATAGATGTCGGCAAAAACAGGAAAAAAAACAGTCGTC